TGCTTCCCTTCCTGCATGCTGACAGACTGAAGGAAAGCAGAACTATGAATGGCCTGTTTATGCCAAGTGGAGAAGTGAGAGAGTTTCAGACTTCTCAAGCATAGGATAGAAATGCAGTGTGAATAGGTTTGTTTTCATTTCCACTCCGCAGATCTGTCACGAGTATAATTTGGTTATCTAGCAAATTTTCCTTGCCTCCCTGAAGCAGGTGCGTCCCTGAGCTATAAAATTCTTTTCCTCTCAGAATTGCTCTTTCTGAGTTGTAGAAAGTTGTGGTTGGTTTGGTGTTTTTTTTAATTCAAAAACTGCACCTGTGAATATACTTAATCATTTTGCAAGACTAATTAAACTTTTGCTTGTGTGAGCAAGGAAGAAGTTGAAGGAAGTGACAGGTTGCGGAGCAAGGAGTTCAAAAGGAGGATTATGGATAAAGGAGAGAGAAAATAATTAAATTTAAGATTATGACAGAGATTGATTATAGCAGAAAAACAAGTAGCAAAGATTGATAGTCTTTCAGTTTTTAGAAAATAAAAAACCAAATAGCATGTCACATCAGTATTAGTTGTGGATTTTCCTGTATTTGTCACTTTATATCCAGTTCAACTTCCTATGCTTTTTAATCTAACAAGATAAAAAAAGAATTGTAAGCGTGGAGTGTAAATTCTAAATTTGCTTAACTGTAGTAGCTCAACTCTCCACTTATGGTATTTTTAATCCTCTTAAATGTAATGAGGTACCAAAATTCAGTTTGCAGCAATAAAAAATTTTCTAAACCTGTTTGAAAAACTATGCTGGACTGATACCCTTGATGATGAGTATCTGCCAACACTGCAACAGCACGCTATCTGCTGGTTCTGTCCAAGCTTCCCAAAAAGTTTGTTTCTGTTCTCTCAGTTGAAGAGACAACAGAGGGATTTCTTTGCCAGTTTAAATCCAGCAATTTGAGTTTAATGAACACAACATGGTGTTCGACTCCACACTTGGAGCCTTTATCCAAAGAGAAAGGGAAACTGAGCCTTCTGAATGTCTTTTTTGCAGTGTATTATCCATTTTAAAAAGCAGGAAAAGATTCTTCTCGCTACACATGGAAAAAACTGAGACGTGTGGAGGGCATGATTTTCAGAGGTGCTGGAGACTTGGTTACAATATCTGATCCTCAGGCAATGCCCGCTGATGGTCTGTTGGGCTTTTGGCATGCTCCTTAGCACGCTGTGGCAGCTGGGCCACTGTTTGGGGGCAGAAACGTTGTGTGGACCCTTCTGAGCATGAGAACTTGGTTTGGGAGGCAAGGAGAGTTTCTGAGCACAGACATAGGCTGTTCTGTTAGCTGGCCACTGTGCCCAAAAGGGTTCTTGCAAGCATGTAATCAATCTGCTGGTACAGACTTAGCCTAAGCCATTGCTCACCTTGTGGAAACTGATGACTGTTTCCTGTCTCTGTTCATAAAACCAACCTCCTCTTTGTTCTGCTGGGTTTCCAAATGGCAAAGTGTAATGAATTTCTCCAGGACTGGGGAGCCATCGTCTTTCTAGACACAGCTCCAGAAAGAGGTGTCTGGAAATTCATTTTACTTGTATTGGCTCTGTGCATGTGTGCCAGCACATACTATTCCAGTATATTCTTTCATAAAAGCAAGCCTTTTTTTGACCAATGGTAGCTGTACTTATCTTCAGTATTCTTTTCCAGTAGGTGTTTTCTGTGGTTGTGTATGTTCCTTGAACTTTACTTGAATATGCCAGTTTTTATGGATATTAATTTTTAAATGAATTCTTAACCGCTACTTTTTTCTCAGGAAAGATTTCATAATATACCAGGAACCAAATGCTTCTCCTTCACATGTAACTGAAAATGGCTTTTCTGATAAGGTAAAAAAAAAAAATAATTATGGCTATTGTGAAAGGCTGAATTAAGACTACTTTATAAACAGCAAATAGTTTCATGTGAGCTTTATTATTAAATACAATGAAATGTTCTGAGGATTCTATTTTAATAATTTCTTTTGTATGTATTTAAGGCAGCTATTCTGTTAATACATGTAGCACTTCTTTTTAAATAGATGGCCCATATTTGGGGTGTGGTATATCTTCCTAGTAATCTAAAATTCTGTAAAAATCAATTTACAAGTGCTAACTCTCATAGCGACCTCTGTCTTAAATTCTTTTTGACTTTTGGTCAAACTGTTTTTGGTTTAAAGGATATCTACTAAACATTTCGATCATTTTATTGATACTTTGAGATCCTGAGAGATAAAAAAGCACATTGGTACGTTAAATTGAATTTAGAAGGTAGTTCTCATGTGAAAAATCAAGTGAGATGCAAACCCTAAAATATCTATGTGTTTTTTTTTAATAGGTATTACTGTGCTTCTCAAATGGAAACCACTATGATATTGTTTATCCAATAGAATATTGGGAAAAGGCTGCTCTGTGCCAGTGTAAGTGTTATGTTGGTTAGTTGAAAGCATGTATTTTTACCAAAAATCTTAAAATGATCACCATCAGGTTTCAGGAAAAGGCTCTGTATGAAAGTTTATTATAGTCGTTCTTTAGTAGTTTAGTTTTCCATTTGAATTGTCAATGACTGAATGATTTTGTGAGAGCATGAATTCTTATTGTGTCCTGATTCTTGACAAAGCAGATTATATACCAAGAGGAGAAGACTTATCTCTCTCACTTAATCTGGGTGGTCTAATGTAAACAGAAAATGTTGGTGTACTAATTTATAATCTGTCGCATTGTCTTTGGTCAGCATTCTAGTTTTAATTTTGTATTTCAGACTATGTTAACTAATTGTTTATGTTAAAATTATCCTTGCATGTGTAACTTGTCACAGAAATCATGGGGGTTGCACGTGCAAAAAATAACTGTCTTCCTGGATTGTTTTCTTTACTAGATTGCAGAAATGCCCAAAAGTCCTAATCAGGTTTGATGGGTCACTAGGACACTCCTTACAAGGATTCTCATTCTTCATGAAAACTCTACCTATGCGCAGAGTTACAGGGCTAAGGCCAAATTTGCCTGTTAAGAGACCTGATTTCTAGTAGTTTCATGCATACCCATTAAGCCATAGTAGCTGCAGCTGGTTTTGCTTCTAATGCCTTCACTGTTTCAGTTAACACATCAAAATGCTTGCTTGCTCTGATTGAAGTAATTTGAAATGCATCTGTAATGGTGGTGTAAAATCTCATTTACCTTGTAACTGATTTTGCCCTTCCACTTTCTCCTCCCCTTCCCCAGCTCTGCTGTATGAGTTGCTGTATGAGAAAGTATTTGATACAGATGTGAAGAAAATCATAGCAGAACTTAGTGCTGTTGGTGTGACAGAGGAAAGTAATGGTAGCAGTGAAGTGTCTGCTTCAGATTCAGAAGATGACAACTACAGGTAAGTGCAATGTAAAAGTTAACGTAAGATGCCTGTGAGTAATATATGGTAAATGGGTTTTCTGAATTTCTGGTGGGTAGTAGAATCTAACAGTTAGGGTTGAAAACCTTTACAGATTACTGAGAAGAGAAACACAAAGAGCTAAGGTTAGAACTATGAAATATGTAGTCTTCACTGTACCTAAGGACAGGGTTCTGGTTCCTCTGTTTTTCCTGCAGTCTAGCTTTGGGTCTCTTTACATAATGGAATATTGCCATTGCAACATGTCCCTCTTCCTGTTTAAAATAGCAGAGTCCCCTGGGATAATTGTCAGTGTGCCAGTCTGGCTTGGTAAACTCCATGAGAATCACTTGGCTCACTCTTGCAACTGAGCAGAGCTACAGGAATCTAATCCAAGTGGTGTTGCTCCCACATCTTGGGGCTCAAATGCCTGCTTGAGATGTAGCTAATGGAGAAATACAGATGTAGCTTGCTCCATTTTGTTCCTTGATCTTTATGAAGTGATTATATTTGTGGGTTTATATTCCTTTTGCTGGACCTGGATGCTCTAGTTAGCTCTGAGTTTTTGACCTACTGATTCCTTTTGCACGGTAAGTCTTTGACAGTGCCATTTTTGTATTTACAAATTGGCAGTTTTTCTTCTGTTTAATACTGTTCTTAAAACCCTGGCTTGTGTGAAATTCCATTGAAGCCATGGAGATTATGCTATATTAGTGCATCATATCCCTTCTTCCTGTTGAACGTCATTAAAGTCCTTTCTGGGGCCTCTGCTATATTCTGTGTGGCATGTGGCAGAAGAAATTCTTTGAGATGTTGGGAGCTGATTTTTTCCTCAAGCTGAAAACAACAGGAAGGAAGATGATGGAAATCACCACAGAAAGAAAACCAAGTTCTGGGAAAGGGATTAGCTTCCTTTCTTGTATGGAAAAAAAATACTGGGGAACATTTCCAATTAAAATACAAAGTATTTCTGCTTCAGGGAACAGTTATTGCAGTTAAACGTCAGAGAGTGGAAACCTCTATTCCTTTCTGTTCTTGGAGCTTTCCTGGGCTTCATATGGTGTAGCATTACCTTGTATCTTTGGGATTCATAAGAAAATATACTGCTAACCTCCATAGCACCTTTGTAGATGAAGGTCATATACTCACTTGAGACTATCAAACTCAATGTTTTTGATTTAAACCATATGTCTTATGACGCAAGAGCTAGTGTGTGTAACTCTTGACCTAGTTAATCCGAATTACAAACACTTTGCTGTGTTGATGAAGTCTTAAATTTTTTGTTTGTCTTTAAAGTTGACTTCAGCATGTTTCATTAGCTGGTTTTCCAGAAGAACTTTTTAATTTTATAAATGTGAACTTTTCAGTTATGTTTTTATTTAATGTAATAGTTTATTTTGTTTTTAGGAAAAG